TTGCCACCATGAGGAGGTCAACTTCAGGATGAATATGAGAGATTGGAAAGCAGAGAGAAAAAAAAAATGGAAGAAAAGGGATCCTGGTGTCATTTTTGAGCTTCTGAATCACACCAACCCTAATCCTGCCTCTGTGAGTCCATAAATTTATTTCCTTCACAGTTGAAGACAGCTTAAATTAGGTTTTCTGTTAAGGGCAATATAGAGTCTTAAGTTATCTATGGGTAAGTACAGGAGATTTTGGGGAAACAGAAGAGGAACATTTAATTCAGTCTAAGCTAGTCAGGGAAGATTCTCAGAAGAGATATTTTGGGAGTAGGGGATAGTTGAAGGAAAGCGTGTTCTAGGTAGGGGAACAGCATACACAAAGACCCAAAGGTGAGAGAAAATATGGTGCATTTAGGAAACCATCTACTAATGTACTCAAGCCAGAAACCTAAGAGTCATTCTGATTCTTCCTTTATTTTTACTTCCCACATCTAATGGATCACCAAATACTGCTAGTTTTGCTCCTAAATATTTCTAAAATGTGTTATCTCTCTGACTGAATGTGAGCTGCTCCTCTAAGACAGACCCTCATCACCTCTCACCTACCATCAAATGTCCCTGCTTCCGGTTTTGCAATTGTACCTGTCACTCCCTTCACTACTACTAGAATTACCTTTCCTTTTTTTTTTTCTTTGAAGATTTTATTTATTTGTCACTAAGAGACAGAGAGAGAGGGAACACAAGAAGGGGGAGTGGGAGAGGGAGAAGCAGGCTTCTGGCTGAGCAGGGAGCCTGATGAGGGGCTTAATCCCAGGATCCTGGGACCATGACTTGAGCCGAAGGCAGATGCCTAACTACTGAGCCACCCAGGCACCCCTAGAATGACCTTTCTTAAATCCACATCTGATCATGGCATAATCCTGTTTAGAATGTTTTCCTATTTTCCTCAGGATAAACTCTAAGTTTTTTAGCTTAGCACTCAGGGCCTTAGTTACCTCTCAGACCTCATCACTTCCACTTTTCCCATAGGGATTTTAATTTAGAGTTATACCAAACCATTTGCCATTCTCTTAAACAACCTCCGTTTCTTACCTCTGAACTTTTTATACGTTGTTGCCTCTGCAAAAATGCCTGGCTCTATTTTCTGCTGAAAAACTACTGCATGTCTCCATCAGGATATTTTCACTTACAAATATCAGAAAATCTTGATTCAAAGCCTTAACCAAAAAGGAAATTTTATTATCTTACATAAGTCCAGGGATAGGGCAAATTCTAGACATAGTGTGATAATTCAAGGCTCGGTGTTTCTATTTCCCTGACATTCTCTTGGCTTTGTCCTCCTCTTTGTACTGGTTTTATCCTCATTCTGGAACCAAAATGGCTGTAGCAGTTCCAGGGTCACATCTGGATTTGATAATCAACATAAATTTAAACAGATCATATGTATATCTAACTTGAATCACTCCTCTTGCATTTTATATAATAACTGAGATGTGAAAAAACACATTCACGTTCTATTCACATTCATTCAGCCCCGGTTTGACTTTTTCTCTTTCCATTTTTTAAATCTATTTTTTATTTCTTTAAAAATATTTTATTTATTGGGGCATCTGGCTGGCTCAGTTAGTTAAGCTTCTGCCTTTGGCTGGAGTTATGATCCCAGGGTCCTGGGATGGAGCCCCGCATCAGGCTCCCTGCTGAGTGGAGAGCCTGCTTCTCCTTCTCTCTCTCCTCCCTGTTCATGCTCTCTCTATCTCTGTCTGTCTCTCAAATAAATAATAAAAAAAATCTTGAAAAGATTTTATTTATTTGACACAGAGATCACAAGCAGGGGGCAGTGGTAGAGGAAGAGGGAGAAGCAGGCTCCCTGCTGAGCAGGGAGCCCATGGAGGGCTGGATCTCAGGACCCTTGGATCATGACATGAACCGACTGAGCCACCCAGGCACCCCTCATTACCTCTTTTTTTTAGAGTTCCCTGTGATTTACTTCCTCTTCCTCTCCTTCCTGCAGCATCTGATATCATTTTTTTTAAACAATTTTTATTTATTTATTTATTTTTAAGATTTTATTGGGGCACCTGGGTGGCTCAGTTGTTAAAGGTCTGCCTTCGGCTCAGGTCATGATCCCAGGGTCCTGGGATCAGCCCCACTTTGGGCTTCCTGCTGGGCAGGAGGCCTGCTTATCCCTCTGCAGCTCCCCTGCTTGTATTCCCTCTCTCGCTGTGTCTCTCTCTGTCAAATAAATAAATAAAATCTTTTTTTTAAAGATTAAAAAAAAATCTTAAAAAAAAAAGATTTTAGGGGCACCTGGGTGGCTCAGTGGGTTAAGCCTCTACCTTCGGCTCAGGTAGTGATCTCAAGGGTCCTGGGATGAGCCCCGCATCAGGCTCTCTGCTCGACAGGGAGCCTGCTTCCCCCTCTCTCTCTCTGCCTGCCTCTCTGTCTACTTGTGATCTCTGTCTGTCAAATAAATAAATAAAATCTTAAAAAAATATTTTATTAATTTGACAGAGAGAGACAGTGGAGAGAGGGAGCGCAAGGAGGGGGAGTGGGAGTGGGAGAAGTAGGCTTTCCCGCTGAGCAGAGAGCCCAACCTGGGGCTTGAGCCCAGGACCCTGGCATGATGACCTGAGCCGAAGGGAGAAGCTTAAGGACTGAGCCACTGGTGCTGCCCGACTGATACTATTTTTACTCATTTATGTTTGTTAAGCTTCTTTGATTGTAAGCAACAAAAACTGGCTCTAACCAAAGGAAAAAACAGCTTTTTGGGAAGGCTATAGGAGAACTTGCAAGACCAAAGGGAAGGTATGGCAGGGAATTGGCAGGATGCAGGTGGCTTTGGGAAGTCCTATTAGCAGAGATTGCCTGACAGCTTTGGCAAGATGCTAGTGAAATGCATTTCATGATGAAAAGCATGAAATTCTGCTGATTTTAGTCTTTTGATGACTATATTAATAATTCAAACTCAAGAAAGGAATATCCAGTTAGCATATCTTGGGTCATTCACATACATGTTGGCTGGGGAGGCCAGGTATCTGAATTAATGACTGTTGAACTGGATCCAGTGAGGAGGAAGAAATTCTCCAAAAGAGGGAGGAATGGACACTGGACAGCCAAAACAACACATTCCTACTATCCTGCCTACCTAACTACTCCTTTCCCTTGGAATTTGAGACAACTCATTCACGTGGTCTCCTCCTACCTCTCAGGCTGTTCTTCACCTCCTTGTTTTCACATGGGGCAAGACCCTTTTAGAAGTTGGCTGAGAGGCTTGTCTTTTGTAAAATGGGAGGGTGGTTGTAAAAGGGGTGGTGTGTTCCTGAGCGGATCTGTTTTACAATCTGAGGACTGCCGCTTTGAAAACTCTTGGAGGGATAGCTTTGTGCTTTGTATGAAACATTCCCTGGCACCAGAACTAAGAGCAAAAGCCCCAACACTGGGGAAGGAGAAGACCTTAGCAGTTGCACTTCAGACTTTTAAGAATTCAGACAGCAGAAAAAGAGGGAGTCTGTCAGATCCTGCAGAAAGGTGGGAGGGATGGGATATATGGCATGTGTCCCTTGAAGGCAACTCTTTGCTAGGCTAAGATCAGTTTGAGGGATATAAAATTCTGATCACATAAGCTGGAATCTAAGTCTTTATGAGAACCGATGGCGTCAAAATTTGGACATTTGGTCTATCAGGACATCTCCTGTATTGAGGCAACAGTGGGGGAATAATCCAGGGGGCAAAAAAAGATGGAAAAGAACAGAGGGGCAGGGAAAATTAAGTGTGGGGAGTGAAAGGCAAGAGCTACTCAGAGCGGAAAACACATAAAATGCAAGACACCTCTCAGTCCAAACAGCAAGGGGTATTTCAAACATAAAATCTGTAACTTAGTAGCTGTGTGACTTTGGGCAAGCTGCTTTACCTGGCTAAGTCTATCCAACCTGTAAAATGCAACATCAATTATCTCCCTCACAGGCGGCTTCCAGTGTGCTGGTAACGTCTGTTATCTTCACCTGGATAACAGTTACATTGGGGGAAAAAAAAAACCCACAAAAACGTAGAGCTGTACGTTTAATATTTATGCATTTTTCTCTATTTATGCTCTACTATACTTCAATTAAAAGGCTTACAAAAAATTAAAAAGAACATTGCCTTTACAGGGTTGTTGTGAAGAGTCAATAAAAACATGTTTATAGGGACGCCTGGGTGGCTCAGTTGGTTAAGCGGCTGCCTTCGCCTGAGGTCATGATCCCAGCGTCCTGGGATCGAGTCCCGCATGGGGCTCCTTGCTCAGCGGGGAGCCTGCTTGTCTCTCTGCCTCTGCCTGCCACTCTGTCTGCCTGTGCTCTCTCTCCCTCTCTCTCTCTAATAAATAAATAAAAAAAAAACCTTTAAAAAAAAAAACAAAAAAACATGTTTATAAAGTCTAGCACAGTACTGACACAATAATGCGCGGACACGGTCCACAGTCCAGATACAGGGACCACGAACTTCCTGCCTCTTGGAGCCCTGGGGCCCGAGGTCTTCCTTGGTACAACTTTTACGCTGCGGCTACTCTCCCAGCCTGCTTGCTTGACTGAATAACGGGGCTAGTTTAGGTATACGGGGGAAACCCGGCCAACCCGACTCTATGGGAGAGGCGAGCAAGCTGGTTCGGCGAATCCGAAAACAGAGGAGACACCAGTTGCACCTGAAAGGTGTCACCCCAGAATATCCCCAGCCGCGGGCGGAATGAGCCCCAGCAGCCTAGAGCGACGTTGCCGCAGCGCGCAGTGCACTGTGGGCCAGCAGAGGTACGGCCTCCCCAGCCGCTGAAGCTTCCCACGTGGCCGGCGGCTGACGCTTCACCCGGCGCCCAGTCCTCCAAACCTGCGCAGTGAAGTGTGTCTAAACAGCCAATCCGATCACTAGCAGCGGGAGGAGGAGATGGTGCAGGCTCGCCGCTCTGGCTTCCGCCCTCCCGCTCTCCACGGGGGGCAGGGGTGGGGTCCACCGCTGCGCGTGATGCTGAAAGCCCGGCCCTCTCCCCTCCACCGGGTGAAGCTTCCTCTCCACCGCCAGGCTCAAGCTAGGTCCCTGCCTTCACCATTAGGCCAACTTTCCTTGCGGCCCACCGGTTCCAGAAGCTGAGACCTCTTGGATCGTTGGCAGGCCGCAGAACGAAGCAGAGATCACATTTTCTTGTTCAAGCTCTGTGCTCCGGCCGAGGTGAGTTTCTCCTGCTGCAGCCCCCAACTCCTCTTCCCCGCCCCGGAATAGACCAGAGAGCGGGGTCTCTGGAGGAAGTCTGACTCGGTTTCGGATTTGAACTCTGTGTGATCTTGGAAAATTCCTCAGTTTCTCTGGACCTCAGTTTTCAGACCGATGAAGTGAGTTTCTACGTCGGAACTGTAGTGAAGATTAAGTAAAATAAAGTTTTTAAAGTGCTCAGTAAGTTTTAGTTGGCCTCTTCTTTTTGTTTGCTTACCACCATCATTTTTGCAGGAACTCTGGCCTTTCCTGTGGGATTGCAGAAATACTTCTGGAAATGGCCGAAGTGGGTAGACTTAGCTTACTTAGGCACCTGCCTTGGGTTTGGGGAAGTTAGGGCATGTTTTTCTGTTGCCTCAGACCTCTTACAGGGAGACCGGATGGACTCTGAACTGTCATCAGATGGGAGTTACTATTAACTAACTCTTCCCTTCAGCATACCTATATTCAGGCTGCAAGACCTCCTAAAAGAGTCTCGATGGTTCTGATCAAGCCTGTTACCTTCCCCAAGATCTCGGTTTTCTTATTTGTACAGGAGCAATCCCAGTATCATTCTGTATGAAGCAACTGGTTTTTGTTTTGTTTTTTTCTGATAATGGTAAGTGCTTTGATATTTTCTAGAGATGATTCTTTCTAGGTTACCCAAGAAGGAAAGAAAGAAGGTGATGAAGGCAGGACTTCTTCAAATGTACCCCCCACCTAAGCTGTCACGCTCTCTCGGCTTTGCCATTGTGTGTGTGTTTAGTGTGTTTGTGTGTGTGGGTGTGCTCACGTGTGAGTTTCTGTGTGTATCTATGGGGCAGGCACTCCAGGAGTGAGGGGCTCAAAAAGATGATATGCTCTGACCTGAAGGAGTACCCTGGTTTGTGAGGGAAAGCAGTATAAACCAACAATGGCAGCTATGCGCACAGCTATGGGTGCATGGGAGCAGCAAGTGCCAGCTGAAGGGTGAGCTGCCCCTAGCCAGGCCAGGCTGGGACTTTGGGAAGCAAAGTGCGCCGGGACTGAAGTAAGTGGTGGCTGGTTCTGCAAAGTCTGAAATCTGGAGTTTACGATGAAGAGGTGGAAAAATGAGGAAGGTGGGAGCCAGGTTAAGAAAGGTATTACTAAGGAATGTAGACTTTATCCTGAAGGTTGGCAAGGAGTGTTGGAAGAGTTTGAGCCTCGGTGTCACATGGTCAGTTAGTGAATGGACTGTGGGGAGAGTGGCCACACTGGAAGCAGAGAAATGGGTGGTTCAGAGCAGTAGTGGTCAGTGGAGGTTGATATGGATGGGCTGGAGAAAGACTTAAGAAATAGGTATTTTAAAATTCTTTTCACATACATCAAGAAGTACATGAAGTGTTCCAGAAGTCTTAAGTTTGGCATTACAGTCCAGAGCAGACTATACCTTTATAAAAAAATATTTACCAATATTAACAGGATTTTTAACCCAGCCAAATAGACCAAATCTTGGCCACAGTTACATATTTAAAGTGGTTTTCCATGCTAGCTTCTTAGGAGTACAGATAAGGATATATTATCTTACCCATCACCTGTCAAAACCATAATCTGATAGATAATACCATTATCTATTTGGCAGAAATGCCACATGAACTGAAAAACATTATTTAGATGGCTTTTCAAGACCCCACAGATTATACTATGAACATGTTTGCTTTAACAAGTTGTTATACAGGGCCTTGAGTCCCTGGTAAGAGAGTATACAGAAGAGCATGGGTCAGGCACTGTGCAAAGTGCTTTAGATACAGCATCTCTTTAAAATGAGGGAGGGGTGCTGATTCAAACCTTGGTGTGTGCAACCCCAGGCCTTGAACTGTTCCTTTGTGCTTCGCTGCTGGATTTGACAAGTAGAGTTTTGGACATGCTGAGTCTTACATCCCTATAGGACATACTGGTGGAGATTTCCAGAGGGAGTTGAATATCCAGAACTGGGGTGGGCAGAATCAGTGCTTAATGTGGTAACTGAAGACATGAGCTTAACTAGGGAGTGGGAAGAGGACTGGGGACGGAACTCTGAGGGACACTGACATGTATGGGAAGTAGAAGAAAGGCCCATGCAGCCAGAGAACACTCATGTAAACACTGCTTCCTCTTTTTCCTGTGTTTTGGAGTTCTTGCATCCAGGCAGGAGCTATAGAGCCCTCCTCTGAGAAGGGAAGATAACCCCAGAGAGAAGGAACGTAGGTGTAGGTGATGACTTGGGAATAATAAAACCTGAGTCCCCCTTTTTTTTTTAATTTTTAATTTTTTTCAAGATTTTATTTATTTGACAGATCACAATTAGGCAGAGAGGCAGGCAGAGAGAGGGCGGGGGAGCAGGCTCCCTGCTGAGCAGAGAGCCCAATGCGGGGCTCCATCCCAGGACCCCGAGATCATGACCTGAGCCAAAGGCAGAGGCTTAACCCACTGAGCCACCCAGCGCCCCCCCCCGCTTTTTTAAAGAATATGGAGCTTGAACTTGGAACCCCAAGATCAAGAATTGCATGCTCTACCGAGTGAGCCAGCTAGGTGCCCCTAAAACCTGAGTCCTTATACCCTCCCCTCCCCACACACAGCCAGGTTTTCTCGTTCATGGGTAAAATCTCTCCCAAGTTAACATGAGGGTTTCTGAGTGCTGCCAGAGGCCAAGCCAGGCAGTTCCTTACAACTTCAGAGCCTGTTAAGGCAGGAGAGGGCTGGAATGCCAATGTGTGAGGCAGAAGATGAGGAAGTCAAGAGCTGGCAGACTCTGACTTCTGTCTCAGAGAAAAACATTTGCTCTCTCCTGCGGCCCCTCCGTTCTCTCCTTTGGAGCTCTTGTTCTTTGAAGCTCTTCGTTAGGTGTTCCTTCTATGAGCCCTGCTCCCCCATGCCTCAGCCGTTTGGGTTTTTCGTTTCACCATCAAAAGAAGGGAAGAAGCAAGCATCAGGTTTCTTCTTTTTTGCCTCAGACCAGGCTTTTGTTCAAGCTTTCAGCCTTAAGTCCATGTGTAATTTCAGAGTTCTCCAATGTGTGCTGGGAAATCTGGGAGAGGCCGACAGGTCCCCTGTTGGGGAACAAGCCCAGGAAACCAGCCACAGACCCTGGTGGCAGCTGGCAGGCCAGTTCCTCCTGTGAAGTCCAGACATGCTTGCCTGATCCCTTGCGAAGTTTGTGTCCCCGGGAAGTTTGGTAACAGCATTGCCTTCTAGTGATCTGTGGTTTGCTACTCAGACTGAACATTTTTGGTTTTGTTCTAGCAGAAAAAGGCGGTCTCCATAACCAGGTTATGCTAGGCTATGAAATTCTTCCAGAGTCGGAAGTATTAGGAATGACAATTTTGATATGTCAGCTATACTTACAACTTATCTTATTTCCTGCTCTACCATAATATTTTCAGGACTTGGAAACAAAGGTTATATTTATTAAGTTATTGCTGGCAATGAAATCAATCCCAAGGGAGTGATATTTCTAGTACTGATGAGATCAAGGGAAAAGGTTATTTCTCTCTTACTGGCTCTTAGGGCGAGCATTCTTTCTCTTTTCTCTTTTGCTTGGATAATTCCTGTTCATCAAGACTTGACTTGGGGGTGCCTGGGTGGCTCAGTGGGTTAAAGCCTCTGCCTTCGGCTCAGGTCATGATCTCAGGGTCCTGGGATCGAGGCCCGCATCGGGCTCTCTTCTCAGTGGGGGGCCTGCTTCACCCTCTCTCTCTCTCTGCCTACTTGTGATTTCTGTCTGTCAAATAAATAAATAAGTCTTTAATTAAAAAAAAAAAAAGACTTGGGCACCTTGCTGGCTTAGTTGGTAGAGCATGCAACTTTTTTTGGGGGGAGCAGGTGTGAGAGGGGGAGAGAGAGAAAATTTTTTCCTTTCTTTTTTTTTTTTTAGATTGGGGGTTTGGGGCAGAGGGAGAGAGAATCTTAAGTCCCCACACCCAGTGCAGAGCCGAATCTCACAACCCTGAGATCATGACCTGAGCTGAAATCAAGAGTTGGATGCTTAACTGACAGCCATCCAGGCATCCTGAGTGTGAAACTTGATTGCGGGGTTGTGAGTTTGAGCCCCACATTGGGTATAGAGATTACTTAAAAATAAAACCTTAAAAAAAAAAAAAAGGCTCAGATAGTATCTCCAGGAAGCCATTCTTGCAGGGTTGCTCTTTTCTTGTAGCCTTTGTACAGATTTTGGTCCTGTCTTAACATATTGTGCTGATACCGACTGTCCTCATCACACCAGCCCGTAAACTTCAAAATGGCAGGGACTCTATTTGAATATGTGTGTCTCTTAGGCCTAGCATAAGGCCCGGAACATTTGGAACATTCGTCACATTCGTCATTTGCTGACTGAATGAGTATTCTTGGGCCATTTGGAGACTTCTGATTTTCAGAGCTCTCCAAAGAGGGTTGCTCCAGTCATCCACCTGTTTTGTTCAGTTGGAAATTTTCTTGTGTTTGTAACTTACTGCTTTCTGCTGTGTCTAATTCCCCTTCCTGGAAAGCCTTCTCCCCTTGACTCTTGGGAAAGCCCAACTTACTCTTAAAAGCCAATGTCAATATTTCCTGGTCCTTGCCCTAACAGAAGTCATTTGCTTTTCTGTAGCATGCTGTGATATGTGCTGTGAGGCACAGGACATAAATATTATGACTGTGTTGACCTGCCCTTTTCTTGCCTTTATCCATTGGTTCCTTCTTGGATCCTTCACTCTGCCACTTCTCAGCTATTGATTTGGGGGCAAATAACTTCATCTTTCTCTCTCTCTCTCTCTCTTTCTTTTAATTTAACTTCACCTCTCTTGAGTTTTTTGTTTTGTTTGTTTATCATCTAAAAAATGGTCTGCTTACTGTTAAAGAGCCCACTCAGGCCTAGCTGCATGGCAATCAGACCTCTCTGTCAGGGACTAGGAGCATCTGTAGTTTCTGATAGCCTCCTGGGACTGTTCATTTCATCCTCGGATAAGGGACCTGTCCTGAATCCAGTCTGTCACCTGGTCTCACTCAGACTCATAATGGCTTTAGCCAGTCTTGCCCCGGCCTGAGACGTTACATAGTCAAGGCTGGGTACTTCAGGGAGTCACTCACCTTGGTCTCTTGGTATCGGAAGTCTTTAACACAGGCCTTTAGCCTGGCAGAAGGAAGGGCACCCAGGCCGGTGGTCCGGTTAATGTTTGTCCAGGAGTTCCTGGCCTTAGTTGGTTCGGGCTACCCTGTCTTAGCTGTCCTCTGCTCACAGGCACGTGTGTACAACTGTGTTGTTTGTTCTGTCACCTCTTGCTCCCTTTACCACCCATGTTTTATAGGAGTCTTGACCAGTGAGGATCAAGCAGCAACACTGACCCCACTCCATTCTCTTCCCATCTGTGTTTCAGGGGGCAATGGCGACTTCGTGTGTCCTCCTGCATACTGGGCAGAAGATGCCCCTGATTGGGCTGGGCACCTGGAAGAGCGATCCTGGCCAGGTGAGAGATGGAGGAAGGAGAGGAGGGCTTCTTATACCTCTGCTAGGGAAAAGGCAGAATTTGGGAGAGGGTCCCTGAATTTTCTATAGCTGCCCCATTGCTATACTCCATTTCATATAGTATCAGATAAGCCTGCAGGGCAGTGGGAAGAGACAAGGGAAGAAGAGACCAGCAGTGAGCCCTTGGCTTCCTGAGGTGATTCAGAGGAAGGGCTGAGGGGCCCAGAAGGGCCAAGGGAATAGGGAGGAACCCTTTCCCTAATTGGATCTGCACTGAGTGCTGTGGCAGACATGGGACCTCCCTGTGCCTGGCCCTGTGCTGCCCCCTAATACGGCACTTAACACTCTGTGCTGTGATCCTTCTCCCTCTCTCACACGGGGCTCCTAAAGGGCCGGGCTACTCCCCAGTGCTCAGTCCAAAGGTAGGCACATGGCAGGTGTCGGGGTTTGAAGAATAGCTATGTCAGCTGCTCAGACCAAGGGTTAGCAAACTTTTTCTTAAAGAACCAGATGCTTAATAATTTAGATTTTGCTGGACAGGTGGCAAAATGGGAGCGATTAGGGGCGCCTGGGTGGCTCAGTGGGTTAAAGCCTCTGCCTTCAGCTCAGGTCATGATCCCAGGGTCCTGGAAGCGAGCCCCATGTCGGGCTTTCTGCTCTGTGGGGGGCCTGCTTCCTCCTCTCTGCCTGCCTCTCTGCCTGCTTGTGATCTCTGACTGTCAAATAAATTAATTAAAAAAAAATGGGAGCGATTATGTATTTATGTAACCATTTAAAGTTGTAAAAATCATTCGTAGGTGGAAAAAAAAAAGGGCAGCTGCTAGCTGAAATTTAATAAACCCTGATACAGACTCTTCCAGCTTAGGGAGTGTGGGAATAGAGACCTGCTTTCCTAGGGTTGTCATAACTAGAGATGCAGCTCCCTCCTGGGGTAGGGCATCTTCCCAGGGCTGCTTCCTTGTTCTTTGGAAATTTGAGTCAGAGTTTAGAGAAGTTTAGGGATTAAGTTTGAGAGGGAGTCTGGCAGGGAGAATATAACCTCTTCTCTCTGGGATTCAGGCTGGTATTTGTGGTGTGCTCTGCCTCTTTTCCCTTTGCTTTCCTTCCTCCTGCAGCCTAGAACCCTGGAGCCAGGGTCTTTATGCCCTAGGCAGGCACTGACATGGCCCAGGGCAAGTCCAGGAGCTAGGAAAGGACAGAGGGTGGCGATCAGAACTGGGCAGCCAAGCTGGGGGGGCGGGGTATGGGATAAGGGGAGTACATGAGGGGATGAAGGGAGAGCTGAGGAGAGTACATCTGGATAGTAAGAGCTGTACCTAGATGGGGATCATAAATGGCAAGGCCGTGGCACCCTTGGTTCTGCTTCTGATGCCAGGTTTCTAGTCTGTTTTCTAGCAGATTGACTGACCTGTCCTCCGACTTCTGTCTGCTTTCTTTTCTCCTGACAGAGGGCTCTGGGCCTAGCTTCCATCTCACTTTTCTGCCTTCCTTAAAATTTTCCCTCTCTCAGAGCTCTTCTGCTTCACTGAACTCCCAGAGCTCAGTTGGTCTACAGGGCTCCATAAGGGTCTCTCCGTGTGTCCTTAGCCTACAAATTATTTACCTATGTATCATGTTTCTCTAACCAGCTCCTCAGGTCTAGAGAACCAGTCTCTATGACTTATACTTCTGTTTCCTGTCAATGTATCCGTCCATCTTCTGAGCATCTAATTGGGAATACAATGTTAATTTTTCCTGGGCTGCACTGAGATTGCTTGGGTAGGAGGAAATCTTGGGGGTTATTGGGTTGGCACAAAAGGTTTAGAGTCTCTGAAGAGGCTTCTGGTCCCCTAGACTAGAGCCATCTTTCATCTTCTTGCTCCTACTTTTTGATGACGGAAGTGGTATATTCCTGCCCCTCCCCCAGCAGTGTCCCTCAGGAGGGCAGTTTCTGGCCTAGGCCAACAGCTGAAATCTCTGCTTCTCTTATCTGGCAGGTGAAAGCAGCTGTTAAGTACGCCCTGAGTGTAGGCTACCGCCACATTGACTGTGCTGCTATCTACGGCAATGAGACCGAGATCGGGGAGGCCCTGAAGGAGAATGTGGGACCTGGCAAGGTGAGGATAGGGGCTACAGAGGGCTGGGGTGAGAAGGCTGGACGCCTGGCTGGAGAGATCTGGCAGCATCTTCCTTCTAAGTCCTCTCTCATAGAGGTGAGGGTGGGTGAGACTGGGTGCCCACAGCTCCTCTCACTGTGAGCCCTGCCCCATGGACCAGGCGGTGCCGAGAGAGGAGCTGTTTGTGACTTCTAAGCTGTGGAACACTAAACACCACCCTGAGGATGTGGAGCCTGCCCTCCGGAAGACGCTGGCTGACCTCCAGCTCGAGTATTTGGACCTGTACCTGATGCACTGGCCTTATGCATTTGAGTGAGCCTTGCCAGGGTCTTCATCCGGGCAGTCGGGTGTTGGGGGAGTCGTGTTAGTGACCTGTAAGGCACAGTAGCAGAGCAGGAGGGGATCATGCCTCAGCTCTCCACGGGAACCCAGCCTTCTGTGTTATTGTGTTGGGAGTTTAGCTACAGAAAAGGAGCGTAACCTCCCTCAGTGGGTATCTCAGGGGCATGTGAGTGGTCCCTGCTGCTCCCTTTGTTCATTCCAGAAACTGCTAGCTTCTGCTGAGCTAAGCCTGGGGTTGCAGTGGAGAATCAGCTCCAGCAGAGGCTGTGAAAACCTCACTGTCAGCTCTGTGCTGTCCTAGAAGACGGTTGCCAGAGCCTGCAAGGAGGAGGAGGAAGAAGAAATTCAGAAAGACTTCTCAGAGGAGAGAAGAGGAGATACAGTCTGGGTCTAGAAAAAAGAGGAGAGGGAATGGGCATTCTATAGAGAGTAAATGCCTGGGTCATGACTTGAAAGGACGAAAAACCACGCTTGTTTCTTATTCTTGGCGTTTGGCCCTTTCTGGGCTTAGTATGAGGACACAGAGTGACTGGATGGTCAGGTAAGGCAGAAGCCTTGCATTTGTGCCCACTTGTTGGGGGGCTGTCTTTCACCTAGGCGGGGAGACAACCCTTTCCCTAAGAATGCCGATGGGACTATCCGCTATGATTCTACCCACTACAAGGAGACCTGGAAGGCTCTGGAGGCACTGGTGGCTAAGGGGCTGGTACGGGCACTGGGCCTATCCAACTTCAGCAGTCGACAGATTGATGATGTGCTCAGTGTGGCCTCTGTGCGCCCGGCTGTCCTGCAGGTGAGCATAGCAGAGCAGATCTGTTGGTTTTGGGGGGGGGTGTAAACAAAAACATGAGTGAGCAGATGATGGGTCTCCTCATGGAGATGGCTAACAAGTTTTCAGAAGTGTTGCTGTAGAAATTCTCTACATAAAGTAGGGCATTGGGGCACCTGGGTGGCTCAGTCCATTAAGCGTCTGCCTTCAGCTCAGGTCATGATCCCAAAAGTCCTGGGATCAAGCCCTGCATCGGGTTCCTTTCGAGCAGGGAGTCTGCTTCTCTCTCTCTCAAATAAATAAATAAAATCTTGAAAAGGAAGGAAGGGAGGTAGGTAGATAAGTAGATAGATAGATAGATACTGAGTTAACTACACTGGAATTAGAAAAGGGCAAGGGGCGCCTGGGTGGCTCAGTCAGTTAAGCGGCTGCCTTTAGCTCAGGTCATGATCTCAGGGTCCTGGCATCAAGTCCTGCATTAGGCTCCTTGCTCAGCAGGGAGTCTGCTTCCACCTCTCCTTCTGCCTGCTGCTCTGCCTACTTGTGCTCTCTCTCTGTCTCTCTAATAAATAAAATCTTAAAGAAAAGGGGGGGTGCTAAGAAGTCTTTTTGATTCGGGGCGCCTGGGTGGCTCAGTGGGTAAAGCCTCTGCCTTCGGGTCAGGTCGTGATCTCAGGGTTCTGGGAGCGTGCTACTGGCCCCCCGCCTGCCTCTCTGCCTACTTGTGCTCTCTCTCTCTATCAAATAAATAAATTAAATAAAATCTTTCAAAAAAAAAGTCTTTTTGATTCAAGCACAATGGAAATAAATGTGAATAATATACATATAAAGGGTAAGGTTATGTCAGGGAGAACAAGGAGTATGTATTGGTTTATATCAAATACAAGAATATTAGAAAGCTGAATGGGAAAAGTGGGCCAAGCGAAAGTGGGGCAGTCAGCAGTGCAAGATGGGCAGAGATGGTGCACGACTGGGTGGGACCCTGCAAGCTGGGCGGGGCCAGCCTGTAGTGGATTTTTCCTTGTTTTAGGTGGAATGTCACCCGTACTTGGCTCAGAAGGAGCTGATTGCCCACTGCCAAGCACGCGGCCTGGAGGTGACTGCTTATAGCCCTCTGGGCTCCTCTGATCGAGCTTGGCGTGATCCTGATGAACCGGTCCTACTTGAGGAGCCAGTCGTCCTGGCCCTGGCTAAAAAGTATGGCCGGTCTCCAGCTCAGATCCTGCTCAGGTGCGGGCAGTGTTGGGGAAAGGAGGTGGGTGAGGGCCCCTGGGTTGGGAGGCCAGGGTTGAGGCCTTGTCCTGAATGAAGCTGCTAATCCTGCCATGTAATTGGGGGGAAGCTAACCTGAGGCATGTCCCCTATTCCCCTGCGGCTCAGGGACTCCAGGATTTTTGAGAAGGCTGCGTGGTGAGGAGACAGTGCTTGTGAGGACTGACTCCTCTTCCTCATGCGCTTCAATCCCCACCTTAGGTGGCAGGTGCAGCGGAAAGTGATCTGCATTCCCAAGAGCATCACCCCTTCACGTATCCTCCAGAACATTCAGGTACTTGGTGGTGAGTTTTGTCGTCTTTAACCCATGGTGCACAGTCTGGCTCTGATTCTGCCTGGCAAGAAGGCAGTGTTCTGGAATCTCAACTTCTGCATGCGAAACTGGCTTTTCTGACCCCCGCTTCCCATCCCCAGGTGTTTGACTTTACGTTTAGCCCAGAGGAGATGAAGCAGCTGGATGCCCTGAATAAAAATTGGCGATACATTGTGCCCATGCTTACAGTGAGTATATATCAGCTGCCAGAGTTAGGGAATGTAAGATTTGGGGAGGAATTCTGGCCCCAGTCTGGCCTCAACCTTGGTGGTCAGAGGAGAGGCGGGATGTTGTTGGTAGGATTGCTGTCCTGGACACAGTGGGCTCCTTTTTATTAAGCTTGGGGAAGTAGTATGGTTCGGGGTAAAGCATTATAGCCTGTGAGTCCCGATCCTGCCTCGATATCTTGTGACTTAGAACAAGTTATTTCACTTTTACAAGCCTCAGTTTTTTGTCTATAAAATGATCCCAGTTCCTGGCACCATAGCAAGTTCTCAGTAAATGGTATAAATGAGAGGAACCTAGAAGGCCTTCTTAACCTTGGTAGAGGGATTGAGGTTGGCTTGAAGCCTGTTACAGATAAGAAAATAAATATTCCTTATTTCAGCTGAGACCTTAAGCTCTTAGGCTCAGGGGCAGGTATATACGAGGCTGTGGTTTGCTGGAGTGCTGTCGACATTGGCATTCTCTGAGGCCCGGGTCCTGTACTACTATCTGGCATAGTGCTCTATACAGGTGGTGATCAGAAAGATTCAGGGAAAGATGCTGTGTCTTTGGAATGTGAGCTCCTACTAATAGAGCCACCTGTCTCTCTTTCCAGGTGGATGGGAAGAAGGTCCCGAGAGATGCAGGGCACCCTCTGTACCCCTTTAATGATCCGTACTGAGGACCCCCACTTCCTGGTTTCCTTCCAGCTCTCCAGCTACAAGGTCCTCCCACGTGCAGAAAGGAATTAATAAAGCTATTGGAGCATCCACACTACTTGCTTGTCTTACTTGTCTGGCCAGACCTGAGATGGAAATTATTTCCTTTAGGAATGCTGGACTGAGGGACACTGGATGCCACCTGCCCCAAGCCCAGACTTCTTTCCTTTTTTGTTTCTGGAGAAACGGATGTGTGGCTGAATGCCATTTCTAGTTTCTTGAATTAGGTACCTTGAGGGAGTAGCGCCTTCTGGTGGCAGCTCTCAGTGCTACGTGCTGTCCCAGGTGTCTCAGGGTGAGAGATCAAGGTAGTAACAGTCCTGTGGTTTCCTGGCATTTCTGTGGCTGGGTCTTCAGTTCCCACCCCACCTCACCTCCTTGTTCAGCGCCTACTTTTAGGACTAGGAAGAGCCAAAAGCCAAAACTTCTGAGCTATTCAGAAGTTCAGGAGTCCCAGGTTGCAAAATCAGGGAAGGTGGCTGTGGATAGAAGCTTTCTCTCAGACACTTAAGTCAGTGTGCGTAGGCTATCTGAAGGAGGTAGAGTGAGTCTGAAAACTTGTCACTCTGCACCTATCTTAAGGTCCTATCTTAGGTATTTTCTAGTCCCGCCAAAGGCCACTGAGGTTTTAGGAGGGTTTTTGAAAAATTCTTCTGAACCTAAGTCACACAAAACTAATTTTAGATTTCCAGTGGACCCATTGCTCTTCATTCAAGTATTTATTGGGTACTTACTTGTGGTTTAACACGATGCTGCACCCAGGAGACCAAGACACACAGGTCCCTGCAGTTTAACGGAGCAGACAGACTTTAATTGCATAATTCGTTTAATTACACTTGGAAGAAGTGCTATGAAAAGCTCAGAGTGAGGAGTGTACTGATTTAATCAGCTGAGATATGAAGGATGAATAGGGATTAATTAGTTAAAAGGTGAGTGGGAGTATGCAAATTGGATAGGTTATGGGGAAAGCCTTGAAACTGGAAGAAGGTGTTGGAAAAACCTAAAAAAATTCTCTGTGATAGAAACTGAAAGTGAGTGGGGGTAGAATGGCATGAAATAATGCTGAAATTAGGTAGGGCCTGGTGATGGAGAGAACAGGAAACAGTTAAGATTTTGCTTTTATTCTGAATATAGCAGGAAGTCAAGGAAGAGTTTGGAGCAAGACTAACTTGGTTTGATTAGTGTCTCAGCAACACAGCACTGGCGCTGTGGAGAGGATGGATCACGTGGATTAAAAAGTAGACAGAGAAAAAAAAAAAAGACGGAGGGGGTGCCTGCGTGGCTCAGTGGGTTAAGCCTCTGCCTTTGGCTCAGGTCATGAGCCCACATAGGGCTCTCTGCTCGGCAGGGAGCCTGCTTCCTCCTCTTTCTGCCTGCCTCTCTGCCTTCTTGTGATCTCTGTCTGTCAAATAAATAAATAAAATCTTAAAAAAAAAAAGTAGATGGAGGGACACATGCTGGAAGTTAGTCTTTTTCTCTGGTCCTTTCTATCTGGAACAACCCAACACTTAGCCCATTGTGTGGTTAACACCAATTACTTAAATGATGAGTTTAGCTGTCACTTTGTCTTTGACATCTTTCTTGACCTTGTGGCTTGCTATACAATTCCATAGTTTCTTGACATACTTGATCTAAGTTTCTACAGTTATGAGGTAGTTTAAATAGGTATTACTTTGCTAGGCCCGCTGTAACAGTACCACAGAATGGGTGACTTAAACAACAGAAACTTGTTTCTCACACTTACGGAAGCTACAAGTCTAAGGTCAAGGTATCAGCAGTGACTGCTTCCTTCTGAAGGTCATGAGGGAGGGATTTGTTCTAGGCCTTTCTCCTTGGCTTGTAGGTGGCTATCTTCTGTGCCTTTATATTCTCTTCTCTATGTATGTCCAAATTTCTTCTTCTTTTTTTTTGGGGGGGGGGCACTAGAAAAAATAACTTTACTATTCCTATTATAAAGGCTGGGTCCTTGTAGGATGAGGGAGGGAATTCTGTTGGGAGAAGAGGCCCCTACTTACTTGCTGGTGATGAGCATGTTCTATAGGACCGTGATGGCCAAGTCCCCATACAGGAACATCTTGGAGATGTAGCAGTCCTTGTTGACCAGCTTGGAATTTTTGCCCTTGCCACTTTTCGAGATCTCAGTCTCATTTCTTTCACATTCTGCAGCACCAGCTTACAGTATCGGTCTCCCAATAGCCACGTTCTAAGGTACTAGGAGTTAGGACTTAAGTATATAAATTTGGAGAGGACACAATTCAGCCCATATCAGGGAGCAGAAGGTATCATAACGTAAAATTATTCACTAATAAACTGCTTAAAAATTATTCTTTTTTTTTTTTTTAAGATTTTATTAATTCATTTGACAGATCATAAGTAGGCAGAGAGGCAGGCAGAGAGAGAGAGGGAAGCAGGCTCCCGAGCCCGACATGGGGCTCGATCCCAGGACTCTGAGATCAGGACCCGAGCCGAAGGCAGAGGCTTTAACCCACTGAGCCACCCAGGCGCCCCAAAAATTATTATTTTTTTTTTTTTTAAGATTTTGTTTATTTATTTGATGGACAGAGATCACAAGTAGGCAGAGAGGCAGGCAGAGAGAGAGGAGGAAGCAGGTTCCCTGCTGAGCAGAGATCCCGATGCGGGGCTCGATCCCAGGACCCTGAGACCATGACCTGAGCCGAAGGCAGAGGCTTAACCCACTGAGCCACCCAGGCGCCCCCCAAAAATTATTCTTGACACACATTTCACATGGCTTAACTTTAGCACTGCTCTGTTGACATCTTTGTCTAATCACTGGATAACACAGCACACATCCATGGCAAAGTGAAGTTGCAGGTCTTGTAGGGGATGTATTACTTGAAACTGATGTTGGGGAACTTCATACAACATAACTGAAGCCATTGAAAAATGAGATCTGCTCCCTGATATGAGGAAGTGGAGATGCAATGTGGGGGATTTGGCGGGTAGGAAAAGAATAAATGAAACAAGATGGGATCGAGAGGGAGACAAACCATAAGAGACTCTTAATCTCACAAAACAAACTGAGGGTTGCGGGCGGGGCGGGGGTGGGGGGGCGGGTAGGCGGGGTAGAGAGAGGGGGTGGGGTTATGGACGTTGGGGAGGGTATGTGCTATGGTGAGTGCTGTGAAGTGTGTAAACCTGGTGATTCACAGAACTGTACCCCTGGGGCTAATAATATATGTTAATTAAAAAAAGAAAAATGAGATCTGATAGTTAACCAAAAAAAAAAAAGATAAGGACACTAGCCTTCAAGAGGATGTTTGGAATATCAAAGTATTAAGGAAAGCTCTTCGGAAATCTGAATTCCTCAAGTATTTTTGCAAAAAGGATTCTTTTTTTTTTTTTAAAGATTTTATTTATTCACTTGACAGAGATCACAAGCAGGCAGAGAGGCAGGCAGAGAGAGAGAGAGGGCGAAGCAGGCTCCCCACTGAGCAGAGAGCCCGATGTGGGGCTCGATCCCAGGACCCTGGGATCATGACTCGAGCCGAAGGCAGAGGCTTTAACCCACTGAGCCACCCAGGCGCCCTGCAAAAAGGATTCTTCATTTGATTTTTGTTTTGGATAAACGGCCACAGATGTAGAATTTAAAAATGAGACTTACTTTTTAAGACGACATTCTAAAAGAAAAGAGTGCTTGCTGGTCAATGGCTAGCACTACCACATTCCGGTTTCTTATATCAAAATTTTTATTTTATTTTATTTATTTATTTGGCAGATAGAAATCACAAGTAGGCAGAGAGGCAGGCAGAGAGAGGAGGAAGCAGACTCCCCGCGGAGCAGAGAGCCTGATGCAGGGCTCGATCCCAGGACCCTGAGAACATGACCTGAGCTGAAGGTAGAGGCTTTAACCCGCTGAGCCACCCAGGCGCCCCTCAAAAATTTTTTTTTTTTTTAAGATTTTATTTATTTATTTGACAGACAGAGATCACAAGTAGGCAGAGAGGCAGGCAGAGAGAGAGGAGGAAGCAGGCTCCCGGCTGAGCAGAGAGCCCGAGAGCCCGATGTGGGGCTCGATCCTAGGACCCTGGGATGATGACCTGAGCCGAAGGCAGAGGCTTTAACCCACTGAGCCACCCAGGCGCCCCTCCTCAAAATTTTTTATACGCAAATAAAATCTAAGACCTCTCGGAGACAGCCTTGTGTCTGCAAGAGAGGAGGGTTTGTCTTACACTCAGGAAAAATAAGACTTTGTGGCATTGTGTGGGAGAAGGAATGTGAACCTTGTAGTCAAAGGCTGGCAAACTTAAAAAAGAATACTTGAAAAAGGGGACTGATGACATGTATTTGAAATAGGTCTCCGGGTGCCTGGGTGGCTCAGTAGGTTAAAGCCTCTGCCTTCAGCTCGGGTTATGATCCCAGGGTCCTGGGATCGAGTCCTGTGTTGGGCTCTCTGCTCAGTGGGGAGCCTGCTTCCCCCTCCCTCTCTGTCTACTTGTGATCTCTCTCTGTCAAATAAATAAATAAAATCTTTATAAAAGGGGTGCCTGGTGGCTCAGTTGGTTAAGCTACCCCCTTTAGCTCAGGGCATGATCCTGGCCACCGTTGATAGAGTCCTGCATCAGGCTCCCAGCTCTGCGGGGAGTCTGCTTCTCCCTCTGACTTCCTCCCCTTTCATGCTCTCCCTCATTCTCTCAAATAAATAAATAAAATCTTTAAAAAAAACTTAAAAAAAAAAAAGAAAAGAAAACCATAGGGAAGGATGCTGGGTGGCTCAGTTGTTAAGCACCTGCCTTTGGCTGTGGTTATGGGATTGAGTCCCACCTCATACCTGCTTGGCAGGAAGCGGGCTTCTCCCATTCCCCCTGCTTGTATTCCCTCTTTTGCTGTCTCTCTCTGTCAAATAAATAAATAAATAAATAAAATCTTTAAAAAAGATAAAAGAAAACCTTAAGGAAGAGAAAATACATTTACAGTGCTACACTGTAAAAAATCCATGTATAAGTAGACCCACACAATTCAAACCCATGTTTTTGTTCAAGGGTCAATTGTATAAATGTCACTTTGCAATGCAATAAAGCTTAGTGGTTGGAGAAGA